ACTTCGTTCTGCTCCTGCAGCAGGTTCTTGGTCCTTCTCCTCCTGTAGAGTGTCCACCGCCTGTCCAGTCACAGTCACAGTTAGAGCCCGCCTCCCCACTGCCTGCTCCCTCTCCTTACACTGGTCCTACTGGAGGTCTTGCTCAGCGTCGCGAGCCTGCGTCTCGTCCCGCGTCGCCTGTTCGTGCTGCTCGAGCTAGTGGTCACGGTTCGCGTCAGCGTCCTCCTCCTTTCCCTGGCACGCACCGGATGTCTCTGCGTCCGTCCACTGCTCCTCTGCGTGTCCCTTTACCTTCTCCTCCTGCGTCCTCTCTTCCTGCGCTTGCCGACCCGGAGTCGGACTCTCTTCGTGCTGCCAGTCCTACTGTCACGCGTCTCCTTACTACTGTCGTCACTGACCCCTCTTTTGAGTCCACTGCTGCGTCTGCTCTTGTTGCTGAGCTCGTCGACTTTGCTGCTCGCTGTCGTCTAGACTACGCTGCTAGTCTTGTTGCTGAGTCTGCGTCTGTTTGTCCTCCGTCCGTCGGGGCTGAGTGTGCTCTTGGCACGGACGTCCTTGAGGACAGGGAGGAGGAGTTCCAGTGTCTGGCCGCCGCTTCACCTCATCTCGCATCCGTACTGCTTGCCCCTGAGGGAGACCCGGATGCACTAGACATCCCGACTCCGCACTCTTACGCGGAGGCCGTAGAGGGTCCCTAATCCTCTCAGTGGCAGGCAGCTATGGATGCAGAGATGGCTTCCTGGAAGTCCACAGGCACCTACGTTGACGCGGTTCCCCCTCCTTGGGCGAACATCGTCAGTGGCATGTGGATCTTCAGGGTGAAGCGGCCGCCGGGCTCTCCACCCGTCTTCAAGGCGCGGTACGTCGCTCGTGGCTTCAGTCAGCGGCAGGGAGTTGACTACTTTCAGACCTTCTCTCCCACCCCGAAGATGACCACTCTTCGGGTGCTGCTGCACATAGCCGCTCAGCGCGACTACGAGCTTCACTCTCTTGACTTCAGCACTGCCTTCTTGCAGGGTAGCCTGCACGAGGAGATCTGGCTGCGCCGTCCACCTGGCTTCACTGGGACTTTCCCTCCTGGCACCCAGTGGAGCCTCCGCCGGCCAGTCTACGGTCTCCGCCAGGCACCGCGTGAGTGGCACGACACACTGAGGACTACGCTTGCGGCTCTTGGGTTTGCTCCCTCTACTGCTGACCCGTCGTTGTTTCTGCGCACCGACACCTCTCTGCCGCCGTTCTACATCCTCGTGTACGTCGACGACTTGGTCTTTGCCACAGCTGACACTGCTGGACTCGCCTACGTGAAGTCCGAGTTATAGAAGAGACACACGTGCACAGACCTGGGTAAACTGCGCAGCTACCTTGGCTTGCAGATCACCCGAGACAGAGCACGCCGCACCATTACCTTGACTCAGTCACACATGGTGCAGCAAGTCCTTCAGCGCTTCGGCTTCACGTACTCCTCGCCTCAGGCCACTCCTCTGTCTACTCGCCACTCGCTCTCAGCTCTGCCTTCAGATGAGTCCGTAGAGTCGAGTGGCCCGTACCCAGAGCTTGTCGGTTGCCTCATGTACCTGATGACCTGCACACGACCTGACCTTGCATACCCTCTTAGCATTCTTGCACGCTATGTTGCTCCTGGGAGACACCGACCAGAGCACATGGCTGCAGCGAAGAGGGTGTTGCGCTACTTGTGCAGTACGTCGGGCATGGGGCTAGTGCTCGGAGGGCGCAGTCCAGTGGTCCTCACTGGGCACGCGGACGCTTCTTGGGCTGACGACCAGGCTACTCAGCGGTCGTCCCAGGGTTACACCTTCAGTCTTGGTTCCGGCTCTCTTTTGTTGCGGGCTACTCGCTCGTCTTCTGTTCTCGGCTCCAGTTGTGAGGCTGAGATCTACGCCGGGGCCATGGCTGCACAGGAGCTTCGCTGGCTCACCTACCTGCTGACTGACCTCGGAGAGCCGCCTCGTTCTCCTCTAGTGCTGTACGTAGACAACAAGGCCATGCTGGCCTTGTGTCGAGAGCAGCGCTTGGAGCACAGAACGAAGCACATTGCTCTCCGTTACTTTCTTGCTCGTGAGCTGCAGCAGCGTGGTCAGTTGCGACTTGCGTACGTGGCCTCTGAGGCCAACACTGCTGATGTTTTCACCAAGGCACTTCCGCCTTGTGATCATCAGCGCTTCTGCACTCAGCTGGGACTTGTCCCAGTCTTGCCTCACTTGCTCACCTCTTGACCTTGCTTGTACTCTTGCATATATGTATATACCTGCTCTTGCTTATTTAGCCTTATATATATATGTCTACTCGTGCATGTGAACTGGCCTTGTGGCCTTGACCTTGTGCTCGGAATGTGTGGTGACTTTCTGATCCACCCTGAGCTTGCTTTGCTTTGCTTTGCTTGACTGGTCCTGTGACCCCTTGTTCTCCCCCACTTTGCCTATGGGGGTGTGTCAGAACTTATAGCTTTTGCATATTCTGTAGGCTTTAGTGGGGTAGCCCATAAGGGGTACAACCCAATTAGGGTTAGTACTTGTACTCAGTTCATTCATAGTTCATTCATTTTCGTTCAACTTTTCTCACAACGCACCTACTTCGGAGGTGCTCGCATGTGATTGGCGCACCGTGCCTTGTCATCTGCACAACGCACACACCAAATCAACCTCGTGCTGACGAATGCATCTGATCAGCCACGTCAACCTCGGGATACTACCACCGAGGTCGGCCTCGCCACGAACACCTGGGCGACTGCCACATGCCTTCGCAGAACCTCGTCACTCAAGTAACCAGGTCGACCGGGCAACCACGTCGGCCAACTGCTCCTTCACGTGCCCGTCGACCACCCAAGTCAACGACCACTTCCAGTCGACCTCACCAGGTCAACCACACCCTTGGTCGACCAGCTCCAAGTCGACCAACACATCTATCAGCCAACCACACCCAGTCGGCTACCTCAGGTCGGCGTCCACAAGTCGATGCCCCTTCTAAGTCGGCGCCGACATCGAGGCCGACCTCCCAAGTCGGCGACCTCCCAAGTCGGCAACCTCGTAAGTCGGCGACCTCGTAAGTCGGCGACCTCCCATGTCGGCGACCTCGCAATTCGGCGACCTTGCAAGTTGGCGACCTCCCAAGTCGGCGACCTCGCAAGTCGGCGACCTTGCAAGTCGCCGACCTCGCAAGTCAGCGACCTCGCAAGTCGGAGACCTTGCAAGTCGGCGCCGACTTCCGGGTCGACGCGCCATATCACCGACCACCAGTTGAAGTCGGCCGTCGGCTTCCCAAGTCGGCGGCATTGCAGTGGCCCCGTGCAAGTCGACCAAACCCGTCGACTAGCTCGCCCAAGTCGGCGTCGCACACTGCTGCAAGTTGGCTGCACCTCTTGTACACCCAACCACTAAGTCGGCTTTGCCCAAGCAAGGACGGGGCCAACAACAACTCCCGTTGACACTCCCTTGCCACGTTCACGCTTGGGCCCCCAGCTTACACGGCAACACTGCTCGGAGAATAGCTCGTCGGCGTGCACCCAACACGCAGCACGCCGGTCACCGCACCAGCCATGCAGGAGGGCATGGCACCTATTGCTGCACGTCGTTTTCGCAGTCGCCCATGTCAGCCAGTCGCACTTGGCCAATTGTGACGGAGCACCGGTTGAAGGCCGGGTAGTGCAGCGCCTTCGTCAGGAAGTCAGCCGGCCGCTCAGTGGTCGGGCTGCAGCCAGGCCTGTCGCGGCTCCATGTGCTTGAGGTTGCCCGTCAACCCCATGCCCTTGGTGACCGTGATGGCCGACTTGTTGTCCAACCGGAAGACAGTCGCCGTCCTGGCGTCCAGCTGCCGGAATTCTGCAAGGAGGAAGCGAAGGCGGCTTCCCTCCCTGCCGGCTTCGGATGCCGCCACATACTCCGACTCTGTCGACGACAGCGTCGCGCACTTGATGCGCTGGCTCGACCAGGAGACTGCGGCCCCTCTGTAGACAAACACATAGCCGCACGTGCTCGTCCGGTTCTGCTTGTCCCCGGCGTCATCAGCGTCTATGTAGCCGACCAGCTCCAGCGACTCTGGTCCACCGCCGAACTCTAGGGCAGAGTCACGCGTGTTGGCAAGGTAGGCGAGGCAGCGGTCGACCTCACGCCAGTGCTGGTTGCTCCTCATCGTGAGGCCGCTCCCCAGCTTGCTGCAGGCAAAGGAAATGTCCGGCTTCATCGTCGTCGCCGCGAACTGCAGCGAGCCGACCTTCTGTCGGTACTCCTCATCCTAGCGTTCTTGTGCCTCCTCGTCGTCGAAGGTCAAGTCGGCGTAGGCGTCGACGGAGACCGCGTCTTTGTGGTCCGACCGCCCCACTCCTTGTCAATGAAACACCTACGCAGCTTGTCCGCGTAACCTTGCTGGTGGAGCCACAACTTTTTCGCCGACCTGTCGCGCACGATCTCCAACCCAAGGTACTTCTGCACCGGCGAGATCTCCCGAAGTTCGAAGGCGGCCTCCAGCAGCTCCTTCAGCTCCTTCATCATCTTGGTGCTGCTGCTGGCGGCAAGCACGTCGTCGACGTAGACCAGCACCCAGCAGGCTTCTTCGTCCGCGCCGACTTTGAAGTAGAGGGCGGTGTCGACCTGGCTCTTCTTCCAGCCAGCACCCAGCAGCACACCGTCGAGAGCCCGGTACCACAATAGCGGCAACTGCTTCAGCCCGTAGAGGCTCTTCAGCAGCTTACACACCCGGCCGGTCCCGTCGTTGAAGTAGTCTGGCTGGTACATGTACAGCACCTGGTCGAGCTTGCTCTGCAAGAAGGTGTTCTTCATGTCGAGCTGCATTAGGTTCAGGTCAAGGACGGCGACGATGCTGAGGAAAATCCTCAGCGTGACGTAGCTGCTTACCGGCACGTACGTCTCATCGTAGTCGGCGCCGTACACCTACGTGAAGCCGGGTGGCCTCCGTATTCGGCCCGTTCGCCGAGGTCCTGGTTGGATCTCCACCACGTCATTGTCGGTGGACTCCTCAGCGCCCGACTACTCCCCTTGGTCATCCCCGTCATCGCTGCCCTCAGCGTCCTGATGCACCACGGTCGGCAACTTTGCCGACTTCTCCCCTGTGTTCAATGTCCCTGCCGACTGCCCGGTCGCCGACTGCTCCTTGGTCGGCTTTGCTGCTGGCTTCTCCCCTGTCAGCGGCTTCCCCGCTGATGCCTCCTTCGCCGGCTTCACCAAAGTCGGCTGCACCTCTTTGGCCTGCTCCTCCCTGGTCGGTGTCGACTTCACTCCCACACCGACTTGCTGAACATCACGTCAGCCACCGGTGATGCACTCGTCCGGCGCCGCAGATGACGCCCAACTTCTCCCCTCATCGCCGCTGGCCGACGTCGAAGTCAGTCCACACAGGTCGGCGATAAGAAGTGGTGTAGGAGGTGCAGGAGGAGGGGAAGGAGGGCGGACGTCCTCGGCGTCCTCATCGACAAGCTCACCGACCTCAGCGAGCAAAGGCAGTGTCGTCATCGAGGTGTCCGTCGGCGGGTTGGTCGGCGTCCGTCCCGATGTTGGCTCGTGCTCCGACTTCCACACCTCCGGCGACATCGTTTCGTAAAACACCACGTCCGACGTGGTGACCACCCGGTTGTCGGCGATGTCGAGAAGCTCCCAGCCCTTGCTCTCTTGCGACACGCCGAGGTGAAGACCCCACTTGGCCTTCGGCTTCAGCTTCCCACCGCGCTGCTGCTCGGGGACGAGGAACTGCGCCATGCAGCCCCACACACGTGCCAGCGTCAAGTCGGGCTTCTTCTCTGTTAGCAGCTGGTACGGCGTCGTCCCCGGCGGCAGCGTTGACCTCTCAAGGCAGTTGCGGACCCAGACGGCCTGCCGCAGAGCGAGGTGCCACCAGTGGTGCTATACGCCCATGTGCAGCAGCATCGTCCGCACCGACTCTACCACCGTCCTCATTTCCCGCTCCGCCATGCCGTTGTGCTGCGGGATGTACGGGCAGGTCAGGTCGTGGACGATCCCCTTGCCATTCACGAAGTCGGTGAACTGCTTCCCGAGGAACTCCCCTCCCCGGTCTGAGTGCAGCATCAGCACCGACTTCTTCGTCTGTCGCTCAGCTACCGCCAGCCACTGCACGAACTCCTGCGGCGCATCCGACTTCTTGGCGACCGGCCTCACCCACACATAGCGGGTCTTGCGGTCCTTCAGCAGCAAGAAGTACAGGCTGCCATCCTTGGCAGCCACCCGGAATGGCCCGCACAGGTCGATGTGCACAATGTCCAGCACGTCATCGGCGTCGGAGCCCTGGTCGGGGAAGGTATGTCGCGCCAGCTTCCCGCCGACACACGAGACACACGGTGAGTCGGTGCCTGATGTCGACTTGAGATCCAGCCCAATGGCAACCTCGTGCTTTGCCGAGCTCCGTATGGTGTCCATGCCGACGTGCGCAAGCCTCGCATGCAATCTGTCCGGCGCCGACTTCGTTGCCGAGACGATCGCCCGCAGGGCCACGACCTCCGTCGTGGGCGACGTCGACCTTGTTGGGCAGGGACGCAGGTCGGTGCAGAGGACTCGCCCGGTGTAAGACGCCCGACCGAAGACGTCTCCCGCCGCCGAGACAAGCAACATCCCGTCGCCGTCCTCCTGCAGCTTCACACCGTTCTCCTTCAGCTGGCCAGCTGACAGCAGGTTCGCGTGCACTCCCGGGACGTAGAGCACGTCGGGGATCAGCACGTGCTTCCTGGCCTCCCCTTGCAGAGCGAAAGTGTTGCGCTCCTTGACGTCCTTCAGCGCCCTATTGAAGCTGTGCACGTGCTTGACGTCGCCGCTCGGCCCCAAGTCGACGAAGACGTCCTTCGTCCCCATCAGGTGGTGTGAGCAGCCGCTGTCGAGCAGGACCACCACTGGGTTCGCCTGCACTGCTGCTGCTACCGCCTAGAAGTTCTCGGCGGCCTCCTGCCCCAGCGAGACGGTCGGCTCCACGACGCCGACCAGCAAGCACGACGCTGTCTTGTCGTCCCGCCCCTTTCCGCCAGTAGAGGAGTCGCCGTCCTTCTCCGAGGTCTACGTGGTCAACTGCTTCTCCTTGCACGGCTTGTTTCCTCCTTGACGAGGTCGAATGCTGCCAGACCTTCCGCGGCCTCCCTTGGCGTCGTCGTCATCGGAGTCGCTGCGGTCGGGGCACTCGAAGGAGAGGTGATCGGGGTCGCCGCACAGCCAGCACTCCCGACGTCGACTTCCTCCTCCTTGACCGCTGTCCTTGGTCAACTTCTTCTTGTTGACTTCCTTGGTCGGCTTCCAGCCACTGCTACCACCGCGGCCAGACTGCCCGCACTGCCCCGGTCGACCTCTTTGCTTCGCTGGGGCGACGTAATTCACCTGCGCAAGGAGCTCCTGGGATCGCTCGGCCTCTTGCATCTCCTCGTCCTGTTGGATGTACGAGGTCAATGTGTCCTCGTTGAGTGTCGCCCGCGTGCTCGGCGCCATTGACAGCCGCTTCAGCAGGTTGTAGCTACTCGGGAGTCCCTTCATGACGTGGGTGATGTACGACGTCGTCGAGTACTGCGCGCCGGCCATCCTTATGGTGGCGAGAATTCGCCGAGCTTGGTTGCAGTAGTCGGTCGCCGTCTCCTGGTCGCCCATACGCAGGTTCGTCAGCTGCCCCTCCAGCTGGGCGATGAACAAATCGTCGGTGACTTGGTAGGTCGATTCGATGAAGTGCCACGTCAAGATACTCCTTGCACCACTTCAACGCGATCTGCACGCCCGGCGAGCAGCACCGCAAAATGACTGTGAAGGTCAGCAGTTGCACAGCGCGAAACTCCGCTCGCAAGACGGGGTGGTGCTCCTCCGGCGTCGCCACGGTCCCTCGGGCGAAGCCATTCAGCCCGCCATCTCCAGCTGGGGCTCGATGGCTTCCTTCCACGTAAGGATGTCGGGTCGACCAACGAGCGGCGGGGTGACCAAGATCCTATGCGGCGTAAACTTAAAGTAGCCGTAGCTCGGTGCAATCCTACCTGCTGTCATGTGGGTCGCCGACATTGGCGACAATCCACTTCGACGACCTCTGACGTCACCCTGCGAGAAGCCTGCAGCCACCAACGACTGCCCCCCTCACGCCTGAACGCCGCCAACCTCATTGGCATGAAGCACACTTTGGCCACCACCGCCGTTGACGCCCACATCGACGCTGCCCTTGGTGTTCACCAGTCAAGGAGAGAGAAGCCAAGAAGGGTGCTCCGTCCCCCACACGGCACGGATGCCAGCCTCGACGACCGTCCAGGGCAAGTCGCCATACTTGTTTGCCTCATGACGTCTCCTCGCGTTCTCCAGCCGTGCCTCAAGGGTGTCCACCACCCTTGCGTCACTTAGGGTGCGTCAGATCCGTTGGCCGGATCAATCCGGCCGGCCGGATCTAGCGAAGGTTACACATTCACGACATTTGTAAGGCATTTCGTCAATTTCGCACAATCCGGCCACTTGCTAAAAATTTGATGGCCGCTTTGATGGCTGGTTTAGCGGTCGACAACTTTCCGACGTGCAAACGAATCACGAGTCGACCACATTGTCGACTCGTCAGCGATACAGTACCTGTGCGACTTGGCCAACATACCCAACTGACTCGACGTGTCACAAGGACGACTCGCACGGCGCGTTCAGCCCCGTTGAACACGACCGCTTTCCGGGGTCACACTTGTATAGAGCGAAACGTGCAATTTTACGCAAGACCAAGGAGCAAGGGCACCATGACACCGACTGCAGCGACCAAGGGGATGAGCACAACGTGCGTGAGGCCGATTGCTAAACGTCGTGCCCATCTGGGTGTGAAAGGATCCGCCATGTTGGATAATGGATAGAGTGTAGGGACGTTCTCGGTTTTGTATACTCTCGTAACACTCAGTTCGGGTAGACGACACGATCTCTCCGAGCCGGGTTGTAAATGGAGCCGCACCTCACATCTTGACTCTCTGTTCGTGGTGCGCACAATAGCGGTTGTGTCACTTCAGTAACAATACGTGCGATACCGTCGCACAATCCAGCCAACTTTACGACCTGCAAATCTGACTCTTGTGCAATCCAGCCTGTAAATCGGCCACCAAATCTGTCAGATTTCAACACCTTGTAAATGTGGCTGGATGGTGGTCGGTTTAGCATTCGACCATTCAGTCGACTTTGGCGAAAATGTGAGTCGACCAAAAGGGCGACAAATTTGCAGCCAAACTTGCAGCCAAATCACTTTGTAGCGGATCTGACGCACCCTTACAGCGCCTACCATAGTGACTACCGCACAGCTGCCGACCTACAACATGCAATAGGTAAGTGACCACTACGTCGACCTGACTGAAAGGTAAGTCGTGTGCCTTCCACGCTCACCGCACCATGCGGAGATAACTACTACAATGGGAGCAAGACTACGGGCTAGGCACGGGGCAAGAGTGATCGTACCGTTCGTTCACTTAGTCGTTTCCAAGCGCTCACACTACTTGCTAGTTCACGGGGAGAATTCGCAAGAGTTTCACTAGGAAAAGTTGACAAGAATGATACAATAAGGTTGGCAAGACAAGACTACATCAGAGCTAGCAAGCAAGCAGGTCGACTGCCAGCGCAGCACCGTCGACTGCGTTCCAGCACTGCTTGGTCGACCGCACTCTAGCACTGCAAGTCGACGGCATCCAGCATTGCTCCTGCATGGCAGCAGCACACCTACTTCGCGGGTGCTCGTAGGTGATTTGCGTGCCGTGCATTGTCAACTGCACAACGCACACACCAAATCAACCTCGTGCTGACGAATGCATCTGATCAGCTACGTCGACCTCGGGATACCACCACCGAGGTCGGCCTCGCCACGAATACCTGGGCGACTGCCGCGTGCCTTCGCAGAACCTTGTCACTCAGGTAACCAGGTCGACCGGGAAACCACGTCGCCCAGCTGCTCCTTCATGTGCCCGTCGGCCACCCAAGTCAACAACCACTTCCAGTCAACCTCACTAGGTCAACCACACCCTTGGTCGACCAGCTCCAGGTCGACCAACACATCTGTCAGCCGACCATACCCAGTCGACTACCCAAGGTCGGCGTCCCCAAGTCGACGCCCCTTCTAAGTCGGCGTTGACTTCCAGGCCGACCTCTTGAAGTCGGCGAGCTCCCAAGTCGGCGACGTCCCAAGTCGGCGACCTTGCAAGTCGGCGGCCTTGCAAGTCGGCAACCTCCCAAGTCGGCGACCTCCCAAGTTGGCGACCTCGCAATTCGGCGACCTTGCAAGTTGGCAACCTCCCAAGTCGGCGACCTCGCAAGTCGGCGACCTTGCAAGTTGGTGACCTCCCAAGTCGGCGACATCGCAAGTCGGCGACCTTGCAAGTCGGCGCCGACTTCCAGGTCGACGCGCCACATCACCGACCGCCAGTTGAAGTCGGCCGCCGGCTTCCCAAGTCAGCGGCATTGCAGTGGCCCCGTGCAAGCCGACCAAACCCGTCGACCAGCTCGCCCAAGTCGGCGTCGCCCACTACTGCAAGTCGGCTGCATCTCCCGTACACCCAACCACGAAGTCGGTTCCGCCCAAGCAAGGACGGGTCCAACAACAACTCCCGTTGACAATCAACACCGCCACAGCACGGAAACTGAGACTACCACTGGACAGATGTTTACCTGAGATCGACGCAAGACTAGTTGACGGCACGCCATTGCGATACGGGAATGCGTAGACCGGGTTCGGATTTGATGCGGGGGTAATTTCACGTTTAGCTAGGAAATGCTAGCAACAACCCTCGACGGAACCAACATTTTTCTCGGTCGTGATTGGCTGCGACGACACAACCCGCGAATCAACTGGACGACGGGTTACTGCACCGTGTGAGTGAACAGTAACAACATCGCCTTACCTCGATGGGGCTCGCCTGAGTCTTCATCGGTGCGTGTCAACATAATCACGATGAAACGCGCCGTAGCGGCAGGTGCTGACGTGTACGCGGTTGACATTCGGGAAGCCGAGGCAGCAAACAAAGGGGGGGGCTTACTGAAACTGCTGGCTGGCGTACCAGGTGATCTCGCAGGACTCCTGAAGAGGTACACTGGGATATTTACGGACGACCTGCCGACGGGACTGCCACCTCAACGACCGCACGACCACATGATATAGTTAGAACTAGAGGCACAGCCGACAGTACAGCGACAGTTCCGACTGACCCAACCTGAACTGAACGAACTGAGGAAGCAGCTGGATTACCTACTTCAGAAGGAGCTTATTCGCCCGAGTTCATCACCCTTCGCAGCACCGATACTGTTCACACTGAAA